AATATTATTGTACCACCTCTAGTCTCATACTTTTATAATGGCCCCATAGAATTGTTTTTAAAACCAGTTACATAATAAGGTCATATTTAATATTACCCTGGTTCTGTTTGTAATTTTTGACCCATAACTGAAAGAATTTCCTTTAATTTTTTAAAATAAGTGTTTTAAAGCATCTTCTATGCAACTGTGTAATTGGAGGGCAAAATGGTAGAAAATCAAATTGGTGTGAGTGGGTAATGCCATGGTTCTTCTATCAAAAAGAGGAAGACAAATTATATTGTAATCAGACATGGCACCCTAAACAATGCTGTTACAGTAGTACGGAAACCTGCCAGTGCCATTTCTCTACGGATTTGAAAATAGAAGGGCCTCAGTTGAGGGTCAGAGGTGGATGTCTATCTGCCATCTCTGTGACCTCAATGACCTCCGCCAGTTACCTGGGAAGTCAAATCCCTGAGGAGCATCTCAGGGAGGAGCAGTGGGTAGCAGCCTTCTTGCTAAGGCTAATATACTTGTCAGATGACACTGCTCTGAGTATACTGCTTAAAGGGGTCAATGGTTTTTAAACACAGAGTGAGTAGAAAGACAGAGAATAACTTTAAAAAATCCACAACCACATGAGTTTGAAAGAAGAGCTGAATCAGATGTGAGATGAGTCATTTGCAGTATATTTGAGATAAACAAAGAAATACGTTCATACCTGATTTTGGGAACTGTAAAATCGGAAGGAAGCTTTGAGATTTTCACCATCTGCGGTCTGTTTGGAAATTTCTCAAAGATTCGAAGACGCAGAGGAAGTTTTTCTTTGGTGTCTGCATTTGCTTCACTTTGCTTTAACTAAAGAAAAAATAGAAAGAAGGAGAAAAGAGAGGAAACTATAGTGCTGTAAGTCATAGATGATGAAATTTTCTGAATCAAAGAAACAAGAGTTGTTACATGAAGACGCAGTAGATGGCAGCAAAGAACTACCAAGTATACTTCTGTCCCTGCCCTCCATTGCTCTCTGAGCGCTCAAACTGAGCATGGGGAAACAAAAACAAAACTAAAACTAAACAAAAATCTAAACCAGAAAAAAAATATTAGAAGAAAAAAAATTATGTGATTTTATTCCCAGATATAGGCCCCTTTTCATACCAAACATTTTTTATTGTTGACTTATTTATCACTAGCATAGCCAAACAATAAAATGTGTTTTATAAATGTGTGTTAGAATTAGAATCCAAATGGATAAAATAATAAATGAAAATCCTAAGTAGTAATATTTGAAAAGAGGGAAAATGTGAAGAAAATTGGTCATTTATTGTAGCAGATTAAAAAGAAAAGCTCAAAATGGAAACAACACAGAAGAGTTTTCTATATAGTAAAAAAGATGGTTGGGAATTAATACATTATGTGCCATTAAGTATCTCTACAAGAAATGATAAGCAAATGGTATGTATGCATGTATGTATGTATGCATTTATTTTTCTATAAGATGGTTTAAATTTTTTTAAAATTTGATCATTAACAGTATCACAGATGATCCCCATTTTGCCCCTTTTTCCTCACTCCACTCAAGCCCTCCCCCCAAGTCTTCCCCACACTATTGTCTGTGTCTATGGGTTATGCACATATGAATATATATTCTTTGGATAATCTCTTCCTGTCCCCTCTACCCTCCTCTACATTGAGATCTGTTATTTTGTTCCATGTAGCCATGCCTCTAGATCTATTTTGTTTGTCAGTTTATTTTGGTCATTGGATTCCACATATAAGTGAGATCACGTAATATTTGTCTTTCTCTAACTGGCTTATTTCGCTTAGCATAACAGTCTACAGGTATATCCGTGCTGTCGCAAAAGGGTAAGATCTCCTTTTTGAAGTCCATGGTGTAAATGTACCACAGCTTATTTATCCACTCATGGGTACTTGGGCTGTTTCCAGCTCTTAGCTATTGTAAATAATGCTGCTATGAACATTGGGGTGCATATATTCTTTCTGATTGGTTTTTATATTTCTACAAATCAGGATTCAGGGAAGCCAAGGCTTAACATCACAAACTGGAACCAACGCTGAGCGAAGGAGACATCGTAAGAATGGACTTGGCTGGCAGAATTCTGACTTGAAAAATGATGTAGTGGCTTCCACACTTGCTCATCCTCCCTTCTTTCCCCTCCCACGGCTGGCTTCTCTTGAGGCCTTTCCTTACTGCTCTTGACCATTCCCTTCCTCCCTGACCTTTGTACAGACGGAATTCACCTCTGCAGGTCCACCCTCTCTCCTGTCCTGACTCTGCAAACTGCATCTTTGAACGTGGATTCTGTATGAAGAGTACATCTAATTCAGGCAGCCTTTTCAGTCAGGTTATGATGATTCCAAAGCCATCAGCTTCTCATCTCTTGTTGAGTATGCTTTTCCTCTATAATTACAATTTGTCTTGTGTTTACGGAAAGATTACCACAAGAGTTCTTATAACAGGAAGACAGGTAGCAGCTGCCTTGTACCCATATGGGGGATATCCCAACCGACCAGAGAAAACGTGAGGCTGCATTTTTGGAGAACATCACAATTTTAAGACAATATATGGCTCAGTTGTCCAATTGGTTGTAAGCCATAGTGAGATTATTGGTTTCATTTCTAGATCAGAGAAATGTGCCCTTTTTCTCATTGTACTACAAAATCTAACATCTTTGTTTTATATAATAGAAACAATTCACTTTTGCCATTTGTATGTTTTACTTAATTCTGTGGCTTGTCTGGTTTCCTGTCATAGGTGGTAATCTCATTTAGGGAAGGGGCTGCTCCTGTTCATTGCCTTCCTCCCTCCTGAAATGGAGCACTGAGCACAGCACGTTCTCCATAATTTGATGGTTATGATAATGACAGTGATAAAGGATTAGCTCCCAAAGGCACAAAACAAAATGACTAGCATGTCCATGAGGTGTAGGCGATTAGAAAAAGGGTTCCACACATAAACAAAGATGTTCATGAAAAAGAGACTTCTTTTCTAAAAGCTCAATGACAAAAGTAGAGTATACAAAAAAGAAAAAGCAGTTAGTAAGTTAAGTCAGACCAGAAAGAAAGACAATTATATGAGGCCAAAGAAAGAGACTTGAAAAAGTGGAGAAGAGCAGAACTAAGGTATTTAGTTCATGCATTTGCCGACAGATTTATTTATACATTGATGCAGTCACTTATAAATCAAATCCTAGAGGCCAGGTCATTGTTAAGTTCTGGGGCTAAAAAAATAACTAAGACACAGCATTTGCCCTCACAGAATCCACATTATAATGAATAGATAGTTATAAAAACAGATTATGACAATAAAATAGAAGAGCTACTCTAGCCAAGATATTAACAAAGTGCTGGATACACAGGTGAGGAGCAAAGAGACAAATAAGAAAAAAAATGAAGATGCTACTTCTACTTTCAGAGACTTCTTGGGCAGCAGAATGGCTACACCTAACTGTTAGTCAACATAGGGGATCTATAGGTACCAACACTGGTATGCACATTTATGAGAATTAAATGTTCAAAAGACTCAAGAGCAAATGGTATATTAATCAGGACATATCATCAAAACAAAAACATGAGGCTCTTTTCTAAAAGCCTCTATGCGTGTCCATTCTCTCGATCCCTACCAATACTTTTCTGGTCAAAGATACCACCTGGGCTCCTGTACTAGCTTCCATGGTCTTCCCATCTGGTTTGGCTCCTTCGAATCTGTTCTCCACCCTGTGGCCCTAGTAGTATTCTCACCTTCTTGCTTAAACCCTTCAATGGTGTTCCATTGCTCTTAAAACTCTCAATATTTCCGAGTTAATACCCGATTTAGCTACTCCCTATTTGTCCAGCCTCATCTGGCTCTCTGCCTACATATCATCTTCTTCTAGTTCCTCAAAATTGTCTGGACCCTCTGCCTCAGAGGCTTTGCACATGCTGGTCCCTCTGTTGGGAGCTCTTCTCCTCCCCTTTCTTTTTTATTCTTCATCAACTTTTTCTACTTGTTCTTCTGATTTCAGTTCCATTACCAATTCTTCAGAGAAGCTTTCTGTGACCAACAAGGTCTTCCTCATAGCATATTGGGTTGGACTATATTATTGTTTGTGTAGGTCAAAGCACTAAAAAATAGGCAATTTCTTATGGCTCAATCTAATACATATTGTATTAGCTTCCTAGGACTGCTATAACAAATTATCTCAAGATTGGTATCTTAAAATAACAGAAATTTATTCTTTCAGTGCTCTGGAGCCTAGAGTTCCTAAGTCAAAGTCCCAGAAGGCCATGCTCTCTCAGAAGGCTCTTGGGAAGAATCCTTCCTTGACTTTTCCAAGCTTCTCATGTCCTTGATGTTTCTTGCCTTGTGGCTGCATCCCTTCAATATATGCCTGTGTCCTCAAAATGCTGTCTTGACCCTCTGTTTCTGTCTTTCTATCTGAATCTTTTTCTTTTCTCTTACCAAAACACCAATCACTGAAATCAGGGTCCACCCTAAATCAGTGTGATTTTAACTGATTACATTAGCAAAAATCTGATTTCCAAATAAGGTCCCATTCTGAGGTTCTGGGAGGACATGGATTTTTTTTTGGGGGGGGGGGCACTATTAAATTCACTACATAGAGCATTATTTGAAATTATAGTATGTGACCAGTTGAACACTGTATCTCTTTCCTGAGACTGTAAATGCTAGGAGGGCAAGGATAGTGTGGAGGCTTTTCATAATTTCATATCCAAGGCCTGTCACTATATTTTACACAAAGTAAGCTAAACAAATATTTGTTGAATAAATAATTATACTGTTCAGGTGGCAGAACTAAACTCTCTAGCAGATAACTGAGAAAAGAAAGGATTTTAAATATTCCCTGAAGGATGGAGAGATAAGCAGAAAATATCTATTTACCAATTAAATAAATGTGTTTGTGTGGAGTATAGGTGTCCTTGGATTCACAGAAGAGAATAAAATTTGACTCTATGGCATTTAATCTGAACTTCTGTCTGCCATTGATGAACTTACTGATGAGTGATTAGAAGAAATTTAGACATAACATTTTACTAGTATATTAATCTAATATTCCAGAATATAATGTTTAACATATCTAGGTTGCCAGTATAAAAATTAATCACATTACCTATATGTTTTAAAAAATAAAACCTATTCTCATTTGTATTAAAGTTACTTATCTTCCCCCAAACTTGCAAACTCCTTAGGGACCAGATTCTATTTTTTAAAATTTACTTTATAGCACCTTCTAGAGCAGGGGTGGGCAAACTTTTTGACTCGAGGGCCACAATGGGTTCTTAAACTGGACCGGAGGGCCAGAACAAAAGCATGGATGGAGTGTTTGTGTGAACTAATATAAATTCAAAGTAAACATCATTACATAAAAGGGTACGGTCTTTTTTTTTTTAGTTTTATTCATTTCAAATGGGCCGGATCCGGCCCGCGGGCCGTAGTTTGCCCACGGCTATTCTAAAGAGTAAAAACACAAGAACCATTAGTGAATAAATAAGTTAGAATTCAGCATGTGTTTGATCATTGCATGACAAAAGAACAAAGAACAAATGAGAAGCTGTTTTTGATGACTCAGAAGGTTCTTCAGGATACTACAACCCTCTTCCTGAGTATGAGGCATTGCTGCTCCATACATGTGCAGGAGGGCCAGCTAAAACAGAGAAAGATGAGTGGCTACTCAAATGGTAGCTACACCAGACCTCTCTACTAAGTCGCTAAACAAGGGACCTCTTTTTGAATAGCAGTTGTGAATTTCACAACATAATGTTAAGTGAAGGCAATCAGACAAAACAAAAGAGTACATACTGAATGATTCCATTTCTATAGTTAAAAAACAGGCAACGAT